AAAACATTGCCGGGCGAGGTGGCTGACACCTGTAATCCCAGCACTTTGGGAGGCCGAGGCAGGTGGATCATGAGGTCAAGAGATTGAGACCATCCTGGTTAACATGGTGAAACCCCGTCTCTACTAAAAATACAAAACATTAGCTGGGCATGGTGGCATGTGCCTGTAATCCTAGCTACTCAGAAGGCTGAGGCAGGAGAATTGCCTGAACCCAGGAGACAGAGGTTGCGGTGAGCCGAGATCGCGCCATTGCACTCCAGCCTGGGTAACAAGAGGGAAACTCCATCACCAAAAAAAAAAAAAAAAATCACAACGTTTTGTTTATCTCACTACTTTCTTGCTCATTCCTTTATTCAGTAAGCAGGTTACCATGACTATGTTTCAGGCACCAGGAATGCAAAGCTAAATAAGATATTATTTTTTATTTGTTTTTGAGATGGACTCTTGCTCTGCCACACAGGCTGGAATGCAGTGGCGTGATCTCAACTCACTGCAATCTCTGCCTCACAGGTTCTCCTGCCTCAACCTCCCTAGTAGCTGGGATTACAGGCTCCCGCCACCATGCCCAGCTAATTTTTGTATTTTTGGTAGATACAGGGTTTCACCATGTTGGCCAGGCTGGTCTTAAACTCCTGACCTCAGGTGATCCACCAGCCTCGGCATCCCAAAGTGCTAGGATTACAGGCGTGAGCCACAACACCCGGCCCAAGACATTATTATTAATTAATCTAACAACTATTTAATTGATACCTACACTTTATGTACTATTGATGCTGGAGACACAGAAATAAACAGAAGAGACAAACTTCCTGGTTGAAGGTGTTCACAATTTATTAGGTGAAATGATATACTCAAACAAATCACAGCAGGATACAGTGCAGTGATTAAGTCCTTGGCACAGATATGGATTTAAACCTATGCTCCACTTACTAGTACTGACCTTTACAAAACTGTTTAACCTCTTTGAGGCTGTTTCCTCCTATGTAAAACAGACATAATACCTTTTCACAGGTTGGTGAGGTGATGCTAGAAAATATAAGTACTTAACGTGTAACAATACATGCATCTGAGAATACTAAGGTGGGAGTGATTAACACATACACAAGTCAGCATAATGACCACTACCTTCCCTTCTCCCAGTAAGTAGTATACAGTACTTTATTCTTCCCGTCTTTATTATCATTACTATTATTAACAATCTTGTAAAGTGCTCTGTCACCCAAGCTGGAATGCAGTGGCATAAACACAGCTCACTGTAGCCTAGACCTCCTGGGATCAAGCCCGCCCCCACCTTCCTATATATCTGGGACCGTATGCACATGGCCACCATGCCTAGGTAATTTCTTCTTCCCATCTTTAAAATGTAATTTTTAGCCGGGCATGGTGGCTCACGCCTGTAATCCCAACACTTGGGGAGGCCGAGGCGGCAGATCACTTGAGGTCAGGAGTTGGAGACCGGCCTGGCCAACATGGTGAAACCTCTCTACTAAAAAAAAAAAAAAAAAAAAAATTAGCAGGGTGTGAAGGCACATGCCTGTAATTCCAGCTACTAGGGAGGCTGAGGCAGGAGAATCGATTGAACCAGGGAGGCAGATGTTGCAGTAAGCCGAGATCACACCACTGCACTGCAGCCTGGGTGAGAGTAAGACTCCATTTAAAAATAAAAAATAAAAAAGGCAGGGCACAGTGGCTCACGCCTGTAATCCCAGCACTTTGGGAGGCTGAGGTAGGTGGATCACCTGGGGTTGAGAGTTCAAGACCAGCCTGACCAACTACAAAATTAGCCAGGTGTGGTGGTGTATGCCTATAATCCCAGCTACTCAGGAGACTGAGACAGGAGAATTGCCTGAACCCGGGAGGCAGAGGCTGCGGTGAGCCAAGGTGGTGCCATTGCATTCCAGCCTGGGCAACAAGAACGAAACTCAAAAAAAAAGTCATTTTCCCTGAGGAAGGCTTTCAGGTTCAGGGACTCCCAGATCACTTGCTCACCACCCAAATCAATGCACTAATCCCTGGGCTTAAGACTTTTAAATTGACTTGATATATTGGTCAATTGCCATTTATATCTTTGTTTATCCTTGATCACAAACTCTTAGTTCAGGGACAATGCCCAAAAAAATTCTAGTGGCTTGAAGAAAAACTTAACTAGAAAGTAAGAAAGTCCAGTTCTAGCCCTTAACCTGCACCCAGACTGGCTGTTCCTCTCATTAAGCCTCTCTTAAGCTTCAGACCTCATTATTCCAACCTGACAAGCAATGGGGACAGTACCAGCCCTTGCCAAGCTTGGGCGAAGGGGTGTTGAAAACGTAAGGGCCGGGGAAAGGGATTCTAAGCTGTAGTTATGAAAGTGTTGAACTTGGCTGTCCTGGGCCAGTTCACTCACTCCACCCTTGTGACCTCAGTATCTCCAGCTTTACAATAGGTACAGCAAGGTCTTTATGATCATTTCTAACCTGCGATTCTAAATGTGGAGAGTCTTCATCCATAAAATACATTAAGGTAATCTCTCCCAGGGATGAAATAATGGGGAATGAAGGAAATAAGTATTGAAGAGAATCTCTGTCTGCGGCTCTCTTCTTTGGTTTGTTCATGAAGTTGACCTGAGTAGGTCAGATTATAGCAGGACAAAACAGTAAGATATAAATCCAGTTCCCCAGATGCTACTAGATCACCATTTTGTGATTCAATTCATGGGCCAAGAGGGAACCCCCACATGTACCCTTGTGAAGAACTTCCCACAACTCATTTGATGACCAACTAGACAGACTGAAAATGTAGAAGCACTCACAATGAAAGCAAAATTGCTGGAGAAATGAGGAAAAGAAATGGCCATGCCATTGAAAAGTTGAGAACACATACCCAGTTTAGCACCCGTAACAGATATTACCCAGGACCAGGACCAGAACCCCCTCAAGAGAACACTTCTGGATGAAGGGCAAAGAGGTGGGGGTACTCAAACCAGTAAGGGCCTAAGGGAACCCCAGCTTAGGAGCCCACTTTAAAGTGTGCTCTTTCAAGAGGGTCCCTTAGTACAATCTAAGGTCAAAGGTCAAAATTCCCTATCACTTCAAACTCCTAGTTTTAGGGGCTTTCTTTCACGGAGGGAATGGGGGGAGGGAGAAGGGTGGCAGTGGTGAAATCAAATCTCTGCTGGGATGTTAATCCATATCCTGAAAGCAATGGCAGGCAGATCGTCTGGAATGTCTGGAATGTTCCAGGAGAGGGAGGGGGAGGAGGGCAGGGCCACCCAACCAATGAAAGAAAAGACATCCTGGCAGCCCTCCCCCACCCGAACCAGCAAAGGCTCACCCAGCCCTTCAGGGCACACACCCCACCCTGGGAACCCACTCCAGGCCCCTCCAGGCCTCCTTTCAGCAAAGCCCCCAGCCCTGATTAAAACACAACAGGGCAGGCAGGGAGACACAGAGGCCACGAACAACCTTTGTCTTTTAAGCCTTTGGCTTGGTTTCTATTAAAGTATGGTGCTACCTAATTTCTTTCAGGCCCAAAGCACATGGGGCATTGCTGAGAACTATAACCTGTGTTCCTTTTCCTTGGTTCCAGTCTCATTCATTACACACTTACAGAAGGCCTGGTGTGGGCTGAGCTGAGGCAGTGTGTTGGGAACTTGGGGGATCCAGATGAAAGCTAAGCGCACCCTAACTGGTTACTTCTTCACTCTGAACCTTAGTTACCTTATATGAAACTTGAATAAGGTTTTTATGAAGACTTCAAAGAAAAAGTGTATAAAACAAGCTGCCTGCCATGTAGTAAGCACTCAATCCATGTCCAAGTCCCCAGTCCCAGGGAACTAGAGTTTTAAGACTAGCGGGCAGGTAGGGTTGACAATGGTAATAATTATTAAGATTTTATTTCTGCACTGGTGGGGAAATAGTGAAAAATACCACTGCCTAGATTCCCCCCCCCCAACTCCCCCATCTTCCCAATAAAAGGGTCCAGGGACCAGAGACCCACTCCGGTACTCCAGTAGACCAGCTTCTACCAGAGCAGTTGAGCAGTGCCTTTGCCCTATCTTTGTAGTATCTCCTGGGCATCTTCTATATGCCTGGATTGCCTAAACCGATGAACATCCATTGTTCAGAAAAGGAAAGTGAATGCTGAGTTCATTAATTCCCCCCACCCTCCTCCACCCTCCTATAGCTGATAAACCTGTGGATCGAAAGAGTGAAGCAACCAGTCCCTGGCAATAAAGGCAATAGTTGCACCAGCCTATCTTCTTGGGTGCCAACATGCTGTGGCTTCTGGTGCTCTCTGCCTGCATTGACCTACAGAGCAGTTATCAGGTCCTGGGTCAGGGATGGGGCATGTGGCAGGGGTTGTGGTAGTCAGTTTGCCAGATACACAGCAACTATTGAGGACTCGCCTCTCAAAGGCTGCTGGGCCAAGAAGGGGGCATAAGAGCCACAAAGATTGAGTGACCATTCTTTGGAAACCCATGGGGGGGCCATTCAGGAGGAAACAGAGGGAAAGAGCATCCTTGCAACAGCTTAAGCTATGTAGGAAGTAGGAGATTCTGGGAGGACAGGGAGCAGGGCCCCTGGGAGGGAGATGAGGTTGGGAACTCTCCCTGGGCTGAGAGTTCTCATCCTTTCATACCTCAAGAGTTCAGAGAAGTGTCACTGATTCAGACCAAAGAGAAAAGAAAGCAGTTCTCAATTTGGGAAGAGCCTAACTTATACTTTTTTTTTCTTTGAGACAGGGTATTGCTCTTTCATCCAGGCTGCAGCACTGTGGTGGGATCTTGGCTCACTGCAGCCTCAACTTCCCAGGCTCAAGTGATTCTCCCACCTCGGCCTCCTGAGCAGCTGGAACATGTGCCATCACGGTTGGCTCCAATTATTATTTTTTTTTTAATTTGTAGAGACAGGGCCTCACTATGTTTTCCAAGCTGGTCTCACGCTCCTATAATCAAGCAATCCTTCCACCTCAGCCTCCCAAAGTGTTGAAATTATAGGTGTGAGCCACTGCACCCAAATCACAATAATTTTTTGATGACAATATTCAATATGCCCAAGAATCACTTTTCAATTAACTATGGAATAGGCAGCTGGAAAAACAAGTTAATAGCTTAAAGAATTATGGATGGGATGTTTTGATTTATCAGAGTGCCAATTCCACAGCGCAGACCCACTGTTCACTGGGTCATGTGAACTCTTAGTGTTTTTTACTTTGCCCTCCAGCCTAACGTGAGTTTACTTTGGCAAAGGCTTTTTGTCCCCTTTATGTCATCAAAAAGGGACAGTGTAAAGAGTCTGGATTCAAACAGGCTTTGGGTTCAAATTCTGGTTGTGGCTCTGTGTGGCTGGCTATGTGATTTAGACAAGATACCCAACCTCCCCATCTCAGTGCCCTGGTCTGTAAAATAGCCGTTGATACCACCTTAGTGGGTAGGGAGGATGGTGTGAGATCATGAATCTGAGAGTCTGGCATGTTAATTCCCTTCATTTAAAGTAGAAGTTAGGGTCAGACACAGTGGCTCACACCTGTAATCCCAGAGCTTTGGGAGATCGAGGTGGGTGGATCACGGGGTCAAGAGTTCAAGACCAACCTGGCCAACATGGTGAAACCCCGTCTCTACTAAAAATACAAAAAATTAGCTGGGCATGGTGGCGTGTGCCTGTAATCCCAGCTACTCAGGAGGCTGAG